CCATATTTTCTATGTTTTAATCGGTTACTTGTCTGGTGTCCATGTCCATTGCCTTTTCAGAGCGTTTCTTGTAGCTACACTTTAAACGTGTGTGAACATCATGAACACAGCCGTAGATCTTGATGCTAACTTCTCAATTATACCGAGCTGTGCCTCTCACCGTGAAAACGTGCAAGAATCTTGGCCTTTAAATTGGTCTATTTTAAACTTTATTCTAGAGACTACCATGTACGAAAAACAACCCTAATATCGAAACTCTCTATGGCGATTAATTTGTCTTCAGTGTCAACTTCGAGTCGATAAATGGCTTAGTGTATAACCAGTTGCGAACTTGGTATAATTGATGCTCTTAGGCTGAACTTATGATTTAAAAGATTCTTTCTCTTGAACCCTCATCATATTAAGCTACTCTTCAGAAACAACGTTTGAAGACTGTTCTTGCCACAAGAATGACTATATATTTCTATAGTTCATTTTCTGATTTGACGATCTCGACATGACTGTTCCTAACAGTACACTGGTACAGGAAGTATGTCACATATGAACCAGATCCATGGACCAGCTCGCCACAACGTCTGACCGTTGTGCGTATAAAAGTCGGTCGTGAGTTCTACTTTTGTCGCAGACTCAGAATTTTATTCTTTTTAGTCCCATGTTTGCAACAAGTTTTAAAAAAAAAAACATACATTAAACCTACCCCGCATTTAGGTAGCGATCGAACTTCAACTTGTTGGTGCGTAAACGTTCATTGGCCAAACGATCAAGTATTAACTCTCTAGTCCGTATAAGAAGGTCGCTCTTTCTTCCAGGTAGATATCTAATTATTTTCTTAGGATGTACCCACAAGCATGATCTTCCTTCTCTTTATCTCTCAGCTTCTTTCGAGTTGTTGTCCACACTTTTAAAAGCTGTTGATCGTCTTAGAAGCATTTCTGCCAAAAGGATACATTGAGTTCTTGAAATCAAATGTACGTAAGACTGGTGTTAATCAAGCGTTCTCAAATAGCCAGTCTGACAGTTAATGATCCCTGATGAAATACTCCACTTTTCAAGTTTTCAGTGTATTCCACAGTTAAGTGCGTCTGAACTGACAAGAACTAAGTGATAAAGGTGAATGTTTTTGGGAGATGCAGTAAGCGGCACAAGAATGATAAAAATGAGTTATATTTAGTCGTAACTAGTTTGAGCGCTAAGCATATTTTGGCGAAATGTTAGCGACGGCTTCAGTTTTACGTAAGAAAACTAAAAAAACAATATAGCGCGACTTTGCGCGTTTGACCGACAAAATTCTATAAACTTAGCTTACCTGACTTACAGTTTGGTCCGTGTCCAAAACTGGAATATCCACTGAGGAAGAAAATTCGCGACTTCTTCAGTTAAGAGAACGATCATCCCGCGAGTCAGAGTGTATATTATTCATGAAAATACTAAAACGAGAACATTAGCGCAAAAAAGGGTAAAATTTACTGTACCTTCATGGATAGTAGCCATAACGAGCCA